TTGGTTCTTATGATCCATAGATTTAGATAATGGCTTGACGTCTTATTTGATGTGATTTTATGATCCTAATATTCAGTTCTTATACTCTTCTGTATAATTTGTTGCTTAGCTTTATTATTTATATTAGAAAAAATACTAGTATTTGATATATTATCGAACAAACCCATCTGTAGTAGTAGAGTCAATATCAAGATCTTGATTTTGCCAAGATTTCCTGCTTTAAACTGGCCAATGGCTTGTAGTCCATCTGTTGGAATGTCAACAGAAGTATATGAATTCTACTTCACCTAGAATTGCAGCTAGGAATGTCTCATATTATTGACTAATAACGTTAGCTGAACTCAAAACCGACTTAGTATGCTAATATTTGGCTCTCCCCATTGAAACTGATTCCAATATTAACATCAAATTAAAAGAGACAGTGATTGAATCCGGAGTTATTTAAGTAAAATCCGGGTAACTGAAAGGTCGGACTTATTTTTGAAAATGCAAAAAAATAGAAATGATTGTTTACATTCTTGCTTATTACAGTTTAAGTCATATAATAAACAATACATACATTTTTACAAGTTAACTCTCTTCTACTCAATATCAAACCATCAGATTACTACCACAAGTGGAAGAGTAAGGATGGCACTAAGTGACAATAATAATAATAATAACAATATAATACCGAATCTACTTCATCCAGCTGGTTCTAATACCTCAGTCCCTACCACCACCAAAGCATACTCTCCCAAGAAAACTAACAACAAAGATACAAAGTGTTGGTATGAAAACAGACTACAACCATCATCATCATCCACTCCTCCATCCTCATCCTCATCCTTCTCTTCAGATCTAGAAGATATGAACACTCGTGACGATCCTTCAAATATGACTCCTTCTCCCAAAAAGAGAATGGATCAAGAAGGACAACAAACATCAAATGATCATAAATTTCAATATGCATCTACTCCATTACATCCCAATTCAAATATTTCGTTCATATCTCCAATACGAAGATTGAATGACCTACATCTAGATTCACCGCTTGCGAGTGAGGATATTCTCATTAATGAGATCGAAGACCACGAGGAATCGTTACATGATGATGATGATGACGAAGATGAGGAAGAAGGATTGGCAAATCAGACAATCAACACCGACGATATCGATCCAGATGAACAGGATGGCGAAGATGGAATAATATACGAATCATCGCCACAATATATAAATACTCGAAAACGAATCCATATCGAATCTCCAACAATGATAATAACACCCAATTCAAACGATTCGAAAATGACAATATGTACGACTAGCGGAACAACCAATAATCTTAAATTTAGTTTTAGTCCTAGTGATGCGACTCCATGTCCTCCACAGCCGCGAAGAAAGAAATTGAAATTTAAAGACAATACTGGGGGACCGGAGGACAGTAGTAATTTACAGAAGAATAAATCACAAGGATACTTCAAGAGGCCGATATTGGATTTGGCTAATTCGATAAAAACTCCCATTGATGAGATAATGTATCAACCTGTTAAACAAGAAGATGGGGATGAAGATGACGAGGAGGAAATATTGAATGATGAAGAATTCGGATTAAATCAAGGAACTCCGATTTCTCAATCAACTCCTGCAAATTCAAGAGCTCCTTCACCTGCTTCAAAGCGTAATCAACCAAGACAGCAACCGACTCAAAGTGAGAAATATGAAGAATATGAAGAATATGGAGAGGAAATAAACGGATATAAATTCATAAAGCCAACAACATCAGCATCCCAACAACAGCAACAATCCCAATTCAAATATGAAACACCAGTGAATAACAACAAATACACAAAACTCCGGGAAGAATACAATAGAAATGAATTTGAACCAACCACGAGCACATCCCAAAAATATCAAATCTTGGGAGAGATACCCATCACATCAGCAGGAATGATGGATGAAGACGAGGAAGAGATACATATTGGAGATAAGCGAATCAACGACCCGTATCTTCACATGCCTGACTCGACTAGCAATAGAACCCAAAGGCAATCTACCAATAAATTGCTTAGACAACTGTATTTCCAAGGAATTAGAATACCTTTACTCCCACCACATTATTATCAACAGGCCAATTTACCACATGAGACTATATTGACATTAATCACCCCGCAGAAATTACGACAATTTTATGAGATGATTAAATTGCCCGAGGAGGAATTGGTAGAGATTTTGCGGGTGGAAAGAATAAAATGGCATCCTGATAAATGGGTCGGGAGATTAAAACAACAGAATGATCTAGAGGTCGGACATTTGAATTTAGAGATTGTGGATTGTTTGAGTAGGAATATTAATGGATTACTTGAATCGATGATTTAGTATTATATTCTATATTACAGTTATGTATAAAAATTTATTTATTTATGGAAGAAAAAGGTTAATCTAATCCTTTGGGGTGTTTATTTCTTCTGTATCATCTATATCTTCAACATCTTCTTCATCTTCGAGATCTTCCTCTATATCTTCTTCAGCATCATCAGCAGGAGTCTGTATTTCGTCTTCTTCATCTTCTTCATCTTCAAGATCTTCTTCAATGTCTTCCCCATCTTGTTGTTGTTTTTGCTCTCCATTTTCTTCACCCTCTTCCCCTTCTTCTTCTTCTTCCAACTCTTCATCTTCATCTTCCTCCTCTTCTTCTTCCTCCTCCTCTTCTTCTTCATCTACTTGCTGTTCAGGAGGATATTGATCTGTATTTGCATCTTCATTATCCCAAACAATATTAAACCTAGTCACCCTAGGTTTCTCAGCCAAAATATTCCTAACAACCCGATCCACCATCACTTTAGCTGGCGGATTCTCCCTCAACTCCTCATTATCATACTCATTATTCACATAGTACCCCACCCTCACAAACTCCCTATCAGCATAACTACAACTCAATAAAATAACCGTAACACTAACCAATTCATTAGCCGGGATTAATTCCGGCGAAGGTGCATCTGCTTGAAATAAGAATTTGTTGACCCCGACAGGGACTGGTCCGACTAGGATTGAGTCTAGTTCTTGATCATGATCAAGAGAACGGGAGGATCCGACGTAGGTTAGTTTCCATTCTAGATCTTCTTTGAGGGGTTCTAGACATTCGAAGGTGATTTCGAATTCATATGGATCGGTGAATTTGGCGGGATTGTTGAGGACTTCTATTCCTAGTAATGAGACAATTGACATTTCCTATTTGATTGCTGCTGTTTTAGATGGCAACTTGAAAAGATTAAATTGATGATGATTTTTTTTTTGGAACTTCTTCTGAAAGAAAGAAACGCGTCTTTTGAAATTTACTTAAATTACGGTTTGACGCAGATTTGAAGAGAGACATTTAGGTTGAGACACTACGACAAAAACCCCGACACAAATACGACATTATTCATTACCAGATTTTTTTCAATACACTTGATGAATCGATGTATGTTTCATTGACAGATATATAGTAGAACAACCAAGAATCCCCTTACAATTTTAATCATTCATAACCATGTCAGACGTAGCTTCAATACTAGTGGACGAAGGACCCAATTCCACAGATTCACAACCCATTAAACAAGAACCAGAATCAAACACAACACAAGAACACCCCTCTACCAACTCACATCCAGAACAAGAATCCAAAGAACCAGAAATAGAAGAAACAGTAGAAACATCCACAGCATCCACCACAGCAGCCTCCAAAGACTATCCCAAAATATATGAGAAATATCAAGAACGATTCCGGAAAGCATATGCCAAATCACAAGAATTGTTCGAAATGGAAAGAAATCAACGATTGACGATGTCTTATTATCATCGTCGAAATCAAGCATTATTAGGGCTAATTGCAGAACTTGAAGCTGGGGAGAATGATGAGATAACATTCCCACCGATTGAATCTGACCGAATTAAGAAGATTATGGAAGTTGCTCCGAGATTAAAATCAACACTAGAGCCATTGATTGAATTACAGGAGAAGAATAATAACCAAGATGATAAGTCCAAGGAGGTGAGGAAAAGTCATTATTTGAATTTATATCATATTGAAAAGATTCCTGATATGATTAATGATGATATTATCCATGCAGAAATAAATCCTCAAGAACTGGAACCTTGGTGTAGAAGACATTATCCTAATTTAGTATCATCAAAATATAAACCTTTAACTATTCAAACATTAAGTATGAATTCAGAATATACTGGAACTGATTTCCCATTACTGATTGATGGAAATAGTAAATTATCAATATCTTCATCTGGATCTACAAAATCAAAAAAACGAAAGATTGAACGGAAATCATAGAATAGTTGTCTATCTTTATATATTAAATACACAAACACCCATTGTATCTATCTAAATGAACCTCTTCTTTCTCGTTTAACTAAATTCTCTAATACTTTCGTATCCGAAAACAAATTAAATATGAATACTCTCTTTTGAAATTTAAATGTCCCTTTATCAACCAATTTAATCACCTCCAAGAATAATCCCATATCATTAAATAACTCCGGTGATTGTTTCTTTAATTTAATCAATTCTCGAATTGCTTTATTTTCAATCTTACTCAAAACCGCATTCAAATGTTGCATAAGTGATATAATCCGATCATTTACTCTAACATTCCCCGAACTATCTTCATCACTCTCCAACAATTCGTCTCCAATCACATCACCACCAGCATCTCCATTTTTGAGATTATCAATATTCCAAACAAATGAAGTCCCAGCCCCACTTCCACTGCCCACATTATTAAAGATTTGATAATATCGAGTATCCCTATATGGATTTGTGATTTCTATTTTAAAAAATTCCGAGATTTCACAATTGGGGAATGTTAAACATTTACTATTTCCATATTGATCAAGTACACTTATCCAATTAAATTCATCCAAGATTTCAATGCCTTCAATCGTATTTGAAATCATCCCTAATATATAAAAACATATTCCTCTCAATTGCCAAATCGGACAAGTATGGAAATTCTCAAGAATTAAGTCAATAATCGATTTCTTGGGTTGGATGGTTGTGGTTGAATACATGGGGTCTAGTAGTTTAATTCCATGTTTACTCAGGGCGATATTTCCTATGATCCAAAGGTTTTGTTTTAGGTCATGTAATAAATCACCTCTAGTTTGATCTTGGTTGTCTATATCCAAGAATTCATCCTGTTGGTTTATTGTCGTGAATATAATTTCAATCGATTCAATTATCCCATCAAGAAATTCTTTCCCTTTGCCATAACTGAAATAATTCAATCCTTCTTCGGTAGATAATAAATATTTGAAGAAATATACCGATAACGAAGTTGAAGGTGGGCCCTGATTTAAAAATGGGAAAAATTGACATTTAATCAAGGTTTCAATTTTCGATAAATAAGAAAATCCATCAATTTTACACCATTTATCAAATTCCGAATCCAAAAACCCCGATTCTTCCAAATATTTAAATCCAATTGGGACTTGAAACATTCTAATCAATAAATTTCTACCGGTGGTTTCATATCTTGATAAGATCGATATCGAAGGTCTTAAAGCAATCAATCTATCCAAATTTGTAAAACTATTAGATTGATAATATTCATATAATAAATCAATTGATCGTTGTACAAATTCATAATCTGAATCATATAAATTCGCCACCAATATCCTAATCACAAAAAATTCACATTGTGTGATCTTAATTAAACTTGGTAATAAATGTTTTAATAAATAATTTCGTATTTTAAGATTGGATATTTTTAAACAATACATTAATATTAGTCTAAATTGGGAATCTAATGAAAAATCAATATATTTAAATAACGTCAACAAGAAAGTATTATTATTTTCGGATTGAACTGTTGATTCAACAATATGAGATAATAATGTGAAAAATTGCCAATGTTCCAACATTTTGATTCCGGCAGCTTTCCCACTCAAAACTCCAATAAATCGTAAATATCCCACCGAGCAAGTATTTTCAATTCTTTTCTTACTAATTATTGATTCTTTCGATGCTACCCCACTGTATGGATCAATTTGGGCCACGATTTCTGAAAGTTGAGGTAATAATTTGGACGTACTTAAATATTTCACCCCTTGATCGAATTCCAATAACATTTCTAATAATTGACAACCAATATTGATATATTTAGTCGAACCACGACTGGTTAATAGTACTTTTGAAAACCGATATTTAAACGGGCGATAAAATGACATTATTCTTTTTAAAAATTTCGGATATTTTTCAATAGTTTCATCAAATCGTTTAGGATTACGCAATGGACCTTGAATTAGATTTAATAACAATGTCCAATTCCAATCTTCAAATTCTTTGATGGTTAATATCTTAGTATTGGTGATTAATGATTTAAATTCCGCATCATCGACATTATATCGTTGTTGAAGGTTGATTTTTTGAATACTGGTTTTTATATTTGATAAATAATCCGTACTGGTTATAAAGTTCTTTCTGGTGACACTTACGACTTCAAATGATGCATGGGAAGATAGGTTAGGTAATAATAAATCTTTACATATGAGTTCAGATGGAAGGAAATTATTAGCCATGGAATAAATATGAGTTAATAATCGAGTTGCTTTCTTTGTATTTGATTGATCTAGGTTTTGTTCTATTATTTCTATTAATTTGGGGAAGATATCATTTTTAATTAATATTAATACAATTAATCCACAATAATGATTTTTTATATTATATTCAAATTGATTTTCTATAGGGTCTAATATAGGATACTCAAATGAATAATTTTGATTCTTGATTGAATCATTGAAACGTTTAATTGATTCTCCAATGGCCGAATTCGCCAACCAAGGGAATTGTTGAATTCCAAGTACATCAAAAAAGATATCCATGATATAATCACGTACTTTTGGGTTTCTTTTCGATAAATTAGCTATCAAATTCTTAATACTTATGAAATTCCCAATTGAATATGCAATTAATCCATTGAAATGTTTTAATAATATCGAAATTAAAAATGATACTTTTTGTAATTTAAAATTAGAAACCACTCTTCTTGATTTATCGCCACCACCACCACCACCATTCACCACTTCAACATCATCAGTAGAATTTGAAAATATCGAAATCAATGAATCTAAATCAAATCCATTTCTTAAAAACTTTCTTGAATTTTGAAAATCCATAATCTTAAATAATAACATTAAACAAGTTGAAGAAATCTCAACCGATCCATCAATAATTGAATTCATAATCAATTTAAACCCACCACTATGGAAAACTAATTCCGGTTTCAATATCGCAATTTCACAAATCGTTTCCAAACATGCATTCTTAAACCACTCAGGCATGGCTTCAATATCATCATCATCATCATAATCGTCATCATGTCCATCCCCATTGGTTGCATTTTGGTAATATCTTCCATTATCATCATTCTCATTACTTTCCACAATCGCAATCAATGCCTTCACGACCCCAATTGATAAATTATCCGCACCATTATCAATATTTAAAAATTCTCGAATCAATTTCACCGCTTGTTCCAATTCACATAAATTACATCTATTGACACCCTGACGACTACCGGGTTTTTTCCCTAATGTAACAATCAAAAAAATTAATAATTTAGATTGAATTAATAAATTCAAACTTTCATAATTCGAAATACAATATCTTAAAATTCTATAACCTGACAGTCTAACTTCCAGGATTTTATGATATAACATGAATTGAACTTTTGGAATCACCGATTTGATTTGAATTTCATCTCGGAGGTTTGGGTAATTTTGAAATAATAATACAAGATCATTTGATTTACTCACGATTGTATATTCATCCATATCTCTTAATGCCCCTCCAAAATTTGATAAAAGATTACTTAAGATCCAAGTTGGACTTTGGAGTTGTTGTGAAGTGGTGACATCTTCAATTACTGAAGTAGTTGCACTTCTCTTTCGGAGTAAAGTAGGCCGTATGGTTGGATCAGGTTGACCATGCGGTGACGATAGCGAATGGGCTTTGTCTGGGGTTAGAAGTTGGATATCAGTGATTGTTGATGACGTGTCTATAGGGTGGTCGTCATTATCGTGGGTGTCGTCGTCATTGTCGTCATAGCCGTAGTATATGGGTAATCTATCTCTATCTACTACTGAATGGATTGTGACTGCATCCATAGATGTTATTGTTGAACTTCTAGTTCTTTCTAGTTCATATTGGGATGGTTTTATTGTTGGTAGATTGGACGTGTTAGTAGCAGTAGCAGTACTCAGTTGAGATGATTTGTTAGTTAAGATATCCTGTATCTTTGAATATGATGTATTTATATTCATCAAGTGCTGAATTTTACACGATGATCATTGAATAGTTGAATCCAATTGATTGTTTCAGAAAATTGGTTGTAAAAAAAATCGGGTCTCGTTATTTTTCTCTCTCTCGTTTGGTTTTAACTAAAATCGATTGTGATTTCTTCTTTTCTATACACTGTAGAGTCATAGTGGCTACTGTTAGAGTAATCGCAGTTATCAATGGCTTCTTGTGTAAAAGGGGAAGAAGCAAGTCTCGTTACACGATGTCTATTAACTATACTAAACTCTGTGAAAATTGAAGAAATTTTTATATCAATAGTTGGAGACCGTTCACAGCTGATTAGCTAAGTGAGATAAAGCCATTGAACTGCAATCTGACGTACAGCTAAACACGTGGATAGATATTGACTCGTTATAATCAGTCAATGAGGGGCTTCCCTATTACTCTCAAGTATTATTCTGATTAAAAATATCTAAAGTTTCATAACCATGTCTAACTGTTTCGCGTAACAATTGCTTTATAGATAGTGGACAGTGCAACCAATTGATATTCAACATTACATAAAAACCTAGCTTCTATTCTCCTTTCTCGGGTCTTATTACGACTTATAAAGGTCTGTAAATACTGTCAAAAAGTTCCTGATGACAATTTGTTCCCCTAAAAGTATTTGCACGATTCGTAAAATGACTGCAAAATTTCTAGTAAACACGAATTCCTAAATCTCTTGTTTGGATATATACACTATTGAGACTAAAGGAACTCTCACAAGACCATAGCCACCTTCAATTTCAAACCCATTCCAAAAAATTGCCGATTTCAGATCGTGAACCATCCCTGAGCCAACTCCAGACAATCGTAGTCTCACCGCATAAATCCAGAATGAAGCATTAAGTGCAAGCAATATCTATCAGCCTATACAAGCATTGACGACATCCATGACCTACTTTCTTACGTTGCACATGTTGAACGGAGGATTCTTATATTAAAACCTTTGGGATATTACAAACCATTCACTCTCAGTTAGTTTATTCTTTGAATATAGACAATATTCATTTCTTTGAAGATATTGGATATGGACATCCAGATATAAGTTCCTGTTCGCTTGATCGTGAGATCAGTCTTGTGATCGTAAGAAGGATCATAAATAAGGTTGTTAAGGTGGAAAAATGGAATACGATGAGAATCCAACACCTCATTTAGGTTTAGAAATGATTGAAAAGAAGAAGGAAACGAAGGTTCTTGAACTGGCACAAAAAGAGACAAAGTTGACCCAGAGGTACGGGGAAGTTGAAGAATCTCCTAGGGTTTTCATATCAGAGATTTGATAGAAATGTTATCAAACACCACTAGAAGATCTGTGTGCAAATCGAAACCGCCTTTTGTGTATTGCCATTGCTTTGTTACGTTTCATGACATAGGTCCGTCCCATAGTATTTTCAATCAAACTAACCATTTCTCCAATTCCAAAAGACATGAAATTGGAGATCAATTTAGATTTGTTTCAATGATTTACTAAAATTTTAAATCGAACTAATTACTAGGATTGATTGACCTGAATTTCTCGTAGCCATACTCCCCCTAATGATGCTAAATTAACCAGCCATATTTTCTCACAGCCCCCCCATCGCAACCATCTATCAAGAAAGCAGAATATAGTAGAAATCACACGAGGTCTCAGTCTATTAATATTTTGACAGTTATGGTACAAAATCAATCAATTCACTAATTACATGCATCATTATGCATTTTTGTGTTGCAAATAGATTCTTTTTGCAATAATTAATTAATTAATTAACCCCCACACGTTTTCTCAAATTTTATGTCTGACATAGAAAAAATCACAAGATAAGAAAACACACTAAATCACAATAACCTATATTGGCAATAAGCGATGGTCACCAACTGTTTCATATCCTTTCAGTTGATACATGACCTCGTATGAATATTTATCCGTGCAGGTAGACAAAGGGTACAGACTGTAGGTCATGCATAATAATAATCATTCTGAATACAATTGGGAAATAGTCTCCACACTCATAACCCCCGAGATTCCCCAGTTTATTGTTCTTCAAAAAGGGCTAATAAAACACGATTATTATAATAATGGGATAAACATAATGGATAACATTATCCACAGGGTCATTCTAGATCTATAACCTGGGCTGGGACAAGGTACTCCGAGAAACAAAGGACAGGCAGAAGAATGGGAGAGTAGCAGAAAAATAATATGGAATTGACAACGACACATTTTATATAGAGCCTTTTGTTAGATAATAATTATACGAAATATTTTATCCCATGGTTTTCTTTGTTGTAATATTATTATTCCTGTATACTGAGTTGGCTCTGTTGGGTTTAAATTTAGAACTAAATTACAACGACAATTGTATTTTCATTGTAGGGAACATAATAGATGGTAGCGAATAATGTCGGTCATATGCATGATGTTAGCCCATCTCGTGGTAACAATATCAGAATCATTTTAAGGTTTACGATATGCTTTACGACGACGACAATACTGACATTGAGGATATACTTACGATCTAGATTGTCGTTGCCAATGTCTCCAATTGGGGTAATCATTCCAGATTTATTGCATAAACCTTAAAAATGAATACACACAAGAAGCCGTTTTTTGAAAAAAAGGAATCAACCCCGAGAAAAGAAAAGGCAGCAAACTTTTTTTTTTTTTATGTCTGCGACATTTTTTGAGTCAAAAAGTTTAAAATTTTCCCACTTTACATATGACGCCCCTTTCTCCCCTGGCACTGTCGTATCGCTTATAATTTTTTATCGGTTGGACCACCCACACACGTACAGTATAAACCCCATTTATTATATACCCCGTAGATAACTAAAACAATAGCCGTTCATTGTATTCTTGAAGAGTATCCTCTCTCTAAACAATGGGAATTATTATTGATGTTGTAATTTAATGTCGTGTCACTTAGAATAGCAACTTTAACAATCAGGAATCTTTTCGAGAGAGAGAGAACAACTGGCTTGAATCGATTCCCCAAATAGAAAAGAAAAGAAGGAAACATTTTTCAGTTTCTATTTCTTTCTGACAAGGAAAAATCATTGCGAAAAACAGAAACAGAAATAGAGCGAGTTTAATGGAATCTTTGCGTTCCCCCACTACATGCAAGAAACAACACCACATTCACATATATAAGGGTCATTCAAAAGGATGACTAAGCGTCAGGAGACATATAAATAAGGGACCGAACTATCGCCGAACTAACCCAACGACCCATTAGTCATCTATACACCGTTGACCAGTTAGTTCTTAGGCTTAGATCGCGTGAATGATTTATAATAATGTATTTTGCAATCGTCAAGCCAAAAGAAAAGAGAAGGGAAGGTCGATCTGAACATCAAAAAAACAAAGGATAAGAAGAATTGTAACTACGTACATAAATCACAATCTCTTTGTGTTGATACCATAAAACCTGGAGTAAGTATGGAGTTGAAGATGCAAGTGATAGTTAATGACATCTAAATTGAATGATGGTTTATTGGTTTTCTCTTGCACTTTCCAGAATTAATATTTTTCTCTTCTCTTTTTTTTTTCCATTTTCCCTTCCTTTTTTTTTTCTTTTCTTTCTGAGTCTGTGTCTGGTCTGGTCTGGTGCGGGTTCTGGGTCTGGGTGGTTTCCAAATTAGGAAATACAATCTCCGTCTTTACCAAATCTTTCGTAAGACAACGCAACCAAAGAAAATTTGTTTGATCATGATTTCTTAATTTCCCAAATACCCAGAGGTTGCAATAAACAGATTGGATGACCCAATACTTCGTAATATGAATGCCGTGTTATAGTATATACTATTTTTACATATACGGTAGAAAGTGGTACGATCTCAATCCATGGATGTTGATGAGTTCTAGGTCACTGGTAGTAATCCTTTTTTTTTATTTTAACAGGAAAAAACAGGGCTCAATCGGAATGACAAAATAAAAAAAAAAATATTAGGAATTTTTTGATAAGGCATTTTTTCAAAAAAGCTTTCTTCTTTTCTTTTTTTTTTTTGGTTTAAGTGTCTGTAATTCTGATTAAAATGTCGCTGCAATTATGCAATTTTTTTGCAGTAAAAAAAAACTTTAAATTTGCTGTGAAGTGTCGTCATCGAAAAACAAAGAGTGTGAATAAATAAGACGTTTTTCTTGACGTAACCACAGATCAGAGAGGAACCCCTCTTGTGCATATAGAACACTGCCCTATCTACCATGTTCCTCTCTTCCCAACTACAACCCTTCAACAAAAGGTCTCCTGTTTTTTTATTATTTATAATTCGAATTGATGATTAAATAAGGTGATTTATAAATTGAAAACCCTGACTGTAGATATATAAAAATAAAATGTAACGAGAGAGTAACGGGAGAGTAAATAGAGAGTAAACAGTGAGAGATTTTGATAAAAAAATAAATGTCGTTATTTATTTTTGGAGGAGGGGGTTTTTTCTTTTATGGTTTTTTTCTTTTTTGTGTTTGAATGACCATAACAACTTTCTCCTTAATAATTTATATAGTAAAATTAAAATTAGAAATTAAAAAAAAATAATTTGGATTAAAATTTTTTCCGCTATCTGCAATTGGATTTATTTTATTTTTTTGTGACAATAATTAATCCACATTCTTTTCCGACACTTTTTTTTTTTCCTGTTCGAATATAAAACTACAATTAAATTCTTTTCAAAAATCCTTTTTATAAATTTATGTCTCTCTCTCTCTCTCTTTGACTCTCTCTGTTTATCTTTCTAATTACAATTATATTTATATCTTATATACATCTTTTGTAGAAAGCATTTATAGATTCATATTTATAATAAGATTAGAATTGTTTTATATTCCCAAGGCATATTTGAAAAATTAAATTCATTAAAAACTCACCCACACACCAAACAAAAATAAAAATAAAAAAACTAAAAAGAAAAACCCTTTCAGATTTCGGATTATTAAAATTTTAATTAATTCAGACAGACACATAATTACATTGCTACAACTACTATCTTAACTTAACGCTGTACTATAACTACTACAAATGTCTGCCACTAAAACTATAACTACAGAAGAAGAAACAATCCCTTCTCCGTCTACCAACAACAACAACACAACAAAAGAACAGCTATCTTTATTTACCTTTGGATCATCAACCACCACCACCACCAATGAACATCCATCACCAATCAGACCACCACCAATTCCATTCAACAACACATCTCCAAAACATTCAATCTCATCCATAATCTCAGATGATCAACCACAACGTAACTCCACCGCCACTGAAGATGACTACTGTATATTTGAAAGATCAGTTCAAGATGCATGCGTCTTCGACCCTGCCCTCAGATCAGGCTCAATCGTCTCATTAGCCTCCATCAACAACAACCATAAACCATCCATCTCCACCCGTCCACGTTCAGCAACTACTGCTGGCACTCATAATTCATCAATCTCACTCACAACTGGTCAATATCTCAAAAATGAAGATTATATTCCTCCAGCATTAGATGCAACTGCCAGTCTTCTATGTGATCGGAATTGTAATTTAGATGATGTAGAATTAGTCTATTCACCTAGAAGAAATTCTTCATTGATTGCATTAAATATGGCACTTGGAAGATCTTCAGTTCTGAGAAAAAATTCCACATTTTCATTATCAACTAATGGATATACCCACAGTCATCATGGTATGGAAGGAACGGGGATCTTACCAATGTCTCCAAGTTCAACTACTTCAAGTTCTCCACCTCCACTTGCTCCTGGAGTATTACCTACTTCTAAATCACAATTGAATTTTTATTCCTATGCAGAAATGATTAATGATGATAGTGGGAATTCAATGAGAAGAAGACCAAGTTTTAAACATGCTTATTCTCAAGGGTTTATCAATCCTCCAAGACAAAGAACTCCATCGGCAATTTCTCCATTCACAACCGCCACCAAACCAAAACATCCAAAGAAGAGTGTTTCGGCTGGTAGTACGAATAAACAAAAATTCTTGATTTCTCCAGAATCAAGTGATTCAGAAGTTGAAATCGATGCTAAGGTGATCAAACCAATTAGAAGCCGTACCAGTGTAATTGCCGGTCCACTTTCTCCAAATAGTGATAATGAGAGTTTGGTTTCTAGTTCGATTGGTGAATGTATTAGACAAACTACTAATGAAATTAATGGTCATTAGATATAGTTTATGTTTTCATGATTATATATATATAAAATTATAAGTTATTTTTTAATGTTGTTTTGATGTTATATTATTATAAAGTTGTTTAGTTCAAGATGATGGTGATATAAGAAGGAGAGATATTGTATATATTTAAAGAGTGATGTCTTCCTTCTTTTGTTTAAAGTGTTTTCTAAAACAGTGTGTTTGTTTAGTATTAGTTATTTTTGGTTAAAGGTTTGTTTTCTATTGATTATTATTTGTATTTTGATTGTGTTTTATAGTGTTTATTAAAGTTTAATATATTTATATTTTGTAAAGAGTCAGTCTGTAGTAATCTACTAAACAAACCAATTGAGATGGTATATCTGTAGGCGAAGAAAGCCAACCCAATCACAGCCCCCTATTGTTTACAGGAAAATATCGGGCTAACAAAATCAGCCAGCTATAAATCACTATACAATTGTACGTCATAAGAGTATTGTTTTCAATTATAATCTCATCAAAACAACAAGTAACATATTGTTCTCGAACAACACAAAGAACTAAACAGAACAATAAGTCCAATTCATTCCCTCTTTTGACATACGAACATTACACGTGTATTTATACAAGCTTTTAAGGACAATGAAACAGCGAACAATATTTATAAAAGTCTAGAAGTGGTGTCCCAACGTAGCCAATATCCCAAGGGGCTAAATAGTCAAGTATGGTATTGTAGATAAACCAACGTTGATGGGGAAGAGTTTTGTGTTTCAATTTCTATAAAAGAAACATAAATCCTAAGAATAAATTTATTAGACTTGATAAATGGTATAGACTCCTTACCAACCACCAGTCTACTTCAGATATCTCAGAGTTGTTCTGTACAAGTATTTTACAAGTCATCACAGCTATCCTTGACAAAGGGGGGCTGCAATTTCAAATTACACATGGTAGCATATGTACGACATTACATCTCCACGACATTTCAAAAATGTCGTTCATCAATATTCTACTCTAAAAAAAATTCTCATCTCATCTTTGATTTATCAAAGCTCATCTCTATTTCATCCATTAGTTGCAAAAAGCAAGAAACATATATCATGATTAGAAAACAAGCCAGAGAAAGACGAGAATATCTCTATCGCAAATCCCTCCAACTCCAAGAATCGGCCCTTCTGGAAAAACGTCAACTCCTTAAAACCGCCTTAGCCCTGGGAAAACCCCTTCCCAAAGACATCGCCGACGACGCCCAACTCCAAAAAGATTTCATCTATGACCAAAGTGAACAATCCCAACCCGATATCGATGACGAATATAGTGCCATGTCCGGAATTTCCGACCCCCGAGTCATAATCACCACCTCGCGTGATCCTAGTGTTCGATTATTACAATTTTCAAAAGAATTAAAATTGATGTTTCCTAATAGTCTTAAATTAAATCGAGGGAATTATGTCATTAATGATTTAGTGGCGACTTGTTCAAGGGTTCAGATTTCAGATATGGTGGTTTTACATGAACATAGAGGTGTGCCTACTAGTATCACCATTAGTCATTTTCCTCATGGTCCGACGGCGATTTTTACATTACATAATGTGAAATTAAGACATGATTTACCGGAATTGGGGAATGTGAGTGAGGCATATCCGAATTTGATCTTTGAAGGGTTTGGAACCAAATTGGGGGAAAGAGTGGTTACGATATTGAAACATTTATTCCCACCGGGGGTGAAGAAGAAGGATAGTTCGAGAGTGGTTACGTTTGTGAATAATGATGATTATATTAGTGTTAGACATCATGTGTTTGTGAAGACGAAGGATTCGGTGGAGATTAGTGAGATTGGACCCAGGTTTGAAATGAGGTTGTATGAGATTAGATTGGGATTGCCGGATAATAAAGATGCTGATGTTGAATGGCAATTAAGAAGATTTGTTAGAACTGCAAATAGAAAGAATTACTTATAAGGGTCTATAAATATATATTAACAATACACTAATAACGTAACATTTACATACTAGCTCCAGTGACAATATAATGAGGATCTTGACTATGAACGTCACTATCATCCAGTCCTACCTCAATATCTCTATTATTATTATTATTATTGGCATCTCGAATCTGTCTCATCTTTCTCTTTCTAAATTGATCAACATTCGTAATTACCCTACCTAAAATATTCTCCCCTGAATCAATAGGTCCTCCACTTCCACCTAAAGTCGATATCCTCCCCAATGTAGAAGTTCTCTCCAATGTATTACTTCGTTTAATAGCATGAGTTTCTTGCATCTTATCATGTAATTTCATAGTCGCATCGGGTAACATAACCGCACGATCAATAGTATATGGCAACCCTCTATGTCTTCCTCTTATCATCATGGCAATAATCACCAATTTCGACAAGACATTAAACTCACCAGATAAAGAAGCGTTTATGGTAGGGTATCCTAAGGACATACCAACGGTACCATAGGCACTTATGATTTCAAACAATACTGCAAAGACCGAAAACCTATAATCTTGTAATCGAAGTCTGTCCCCTTCTGCTAAACATATAACAAATAACCCGAGGAACACATACCATAAATCATAACTCAATTGATTTCTCAAATGGGTTCCGACATAATTAGTCGTGGTACTCTCAATATTATTCTCATTATTATCTTCATGTTTGGCATATACTCCCAATGATTGTTCTTCATAAACATTTGTCCTTCTGATCGAAATCGCCAAAGGTAACACGGAAATATACATCATCAACATATATCCCACCTGAGCACCCGCATGTAATGCCGATAAATCAAATACGGAAAACCCTACCGTTCTTGTACAAAACGCCTGAAATAATCCATCAAGCACACGATATCCCGTATCAATCCCATCAAATATCAGATTATGTATATCCACAATACAAAACAACACCAAATCAAACCCATTCAAAGCCACAAGTATAAAAAACAACCACCATGTCGGCACACTAGGAAACAACAACGTAAAACATCTTCTTGGGTGATCTAACAAAAACCCAAGTGATTCCTTATACAAACTCAACGGACGCGCCGTTTTGAACAATATCCAAATTATAAACCTCAAGAAAACCGGGAAACCGGTATTTCCAATCACAATCAAAAAAGCACAAAGCACCAATACAAAACTCGATTCATTAAATGAACTCATGGAATCCGGAGTCAATGTTAATCCCAAATCATTAAAACTACTCTGAGCAGTAAACCAAGCCCACCAGGCCGGATTTATACTCTGGGAAGTTAACATTAATTTATATTCCGGCATACAATAGATCCAAATCGTCAACATTACCGCACCCAAGAGATGGAAACCGATATAATACCCCACCACGATCTTGATCAAGAGTTTTACGGCTCGATATTCAACACCACCAAGTTCTTCTTTTTGTTCGTCGGTTAGGTGGACAAATGTGGAATTTCTGCCTACGGTGGGGGTCCATGATAAGTAATTGGCACTCATTGATCGACTGAGGTGGCTGAGGTTGGAGATGCCGTCGGTTTCTTCGTCTTCGGTGTCATAATGGTGGTGGGAACGGGCGGTGGTGGAGTTGGAGGTGGTTGAAAGTCCTGGGGTTTTGATTTTTCGTATATCGATTCTTTTCTTCTTTTTCTGTTTCTTGGATGATGGGGTTGGTTGTTTTGTTGATTTATGAGGTTTTTTGTGGGGTGGGTTTGTTGTTTCGACATCGATGGTGTTGCTTCGTTTATGATATTTTTGTCCACTGGTTGCATCTTTAGATGGAAGTTCAAGATTTGATACTGCTCTTTTAACTCTTGGACGGCCAGCATCATCATGCTCCTCATCATCATCATCATCATCCAAAATCGCATTCTCATCATTCTCGTCATCATCATCTTCATCTTCATCATCAGCATCAACATCCGTTATCTCATCAATATCAGTCTGTCCATCCTCCTCCTCCTCCTCCTCCTCCTCCTCTTCCTGTTCCTCCTTTGTTCTCTCAGAATCAATCGACACATCATCATCCACGTCATCATCATCCTCATCCTCCATCTCACTCGTCGACAATCTCTTCTGATTGGAAAAAGTTCTCCTAATCTTAGTAGTCCATGGCGAATAATGTTTCCTCTTCTTATTCCCACCACCCGAAGAAAGAAGTTTATCCTTAATTTGTAATCCTGCCGATGAAAGTCTCTTTTTCCTGGTGACGAAAATACTATCTGAATTCTCAATCTCATTGGGTGGTTTAATTATAAGTACATCGTCATCATCACTGGTTGCTGGACCTGCTGATGATGAATGATGTGGTGGGTTTGATGTGGTTGGAGTTGCAGGATGGGAGGATGAGAAGAGATGGGTTGAGAATCGTCTGGTTTTCGATGGAGAGTTTAAATTAACGAATTGAATCGATGTTGGGGATGTGACTGGTTGTTGTTGTGATTGTTGGGCCTGTTCTTGTTGTTCTTGACGTTCTTTCATCATTCGGATGGATCTATACATATCTTCTGGATCGATTGATTTTCTTCTTTTGGGGGGATGAGGTAAATTACCAAATTTAATTCCTTGATCTTGTTGTTGTTGTTTTTGTTCATTGAAATCTTTTTCATCTTGATGTTTTGATGAAGATGATGCTGGAGATGTGGTAGATGAATCTAATTCTGCTTCTTTATCTTCTTGAAAAAATCCAATACCTTGATTATCTTTAGTATTCTTGGCCAAAGTTTCATCATTTCTTTCTCGTGAATGATAGGTAGAATTAGTTCTTTGTTGAGCAATAGTTGCTGAACGTCTCATTTTAAAATCAGCCATTGATTTTTCTTTAATATTATCAAAATGTCTTTCAAAATAATATAATCTAACAAATAATAATGATCCATGAATAAAGATTGGAGTAGTTAAAGTAGTTATCGAATAAAACATAATTTGTTGATATAAGGAAGTTTTCATAACATCAACAGTATTCAACCCAGCTTGAGTAGATGAACCAGCAGTAAAGAATAAAATATCAACATATGCAACTGATTTGACTGGATATACAATAGCTGAACCTAGAAATACCATCATTAAGATATAAAAATAATGAACTGCTCGGAAATTAGGTAATAAGATTCTAGCATATGGATAAACTGTAGATGCTATTGAATGAATCCCATTTCTTATATGGTACCCGATTGCTAAATCGTCTCGTTTTCGTTTTATTTGATGATATAAATGTGTTAAATTTGAAGTCATATTGATTGATGATAATAGTGCATATATATTAGGAAATGTTAAATTAAATAAGTGAAAGGTGGGATGTTTGATATAATCCGTTTCTATTTTATACTTTTTATAAAGTGTGTAAGTTTACTTGTGTACTAGTAGCAAGGGTAGTTTGTTAGTTAGTTTTACTGGGATCGTAATCAGCTGTAAATGTAAAATGGATTAAATTACGGCAGTGCTCTCTTTTTTTCCTTAGGTAATGATCTTCTTGTTTTCTTCTTCTTCTGTTAAGAAAAAAAAAGGAAAAAAAAATAATTTTTAAATTAAAGTCACGTGACACTTATAAGATCTTTGACTTCGTCACTTTCCTTAACAAAATTATCTTCTTGATTATACTTATTCCTAGTTAAATCCGCTCTATCTATAACCAATAGTCTCGTAGTCTAAATCTAAAAAGTCTTAACATAAAACAAACAAGGAGAAATGTTTTATGGCTTATATATAATACTCTCTCCCCATTTCGCCAAGTTTTCCCCTTAGGCATCGAAGCCGCCAAGCAAAATGGCATCAGAAAACGTTTTTCTTTCAAGGAATGCGCATTCATTTAAAAAGCGCATTTTTACTTTCCAAAATAAGTAAGCAAAAAGCCATTACATGACAATAGACATACAGTATATAAATAGACGACAACTTGAGGTTTCAGAATGTATAAATATGAGTGAAACATACACATACTTTGTTAGAGATATACCATCTACAAATGTCTGCTCTGAAGAAAAGCAGCACTAACTCAAAAGAGGTACCACCCCACCATCGTCAAATCAATGTCCATATTTACTTAGTAATTCAATTCTTTTCTTAAGCTATGGGATAATATATCGAAAGTATGTTATTGATTTCTATAAATAGTATACACTGTACAAATATAAAAGAGAAGGGACTATATATATGGATATTTATAGGTAGTTTGAGACCAAAGATATAATGTCCAGAATAGGATATAGCAGAGAGTAATCAGCATGTTTTGCCAGTCATACGTTAAACAAGAAACTAGCACCTCTTCATATTTGTTCACATTTATTAGATAATTAAAAGAATAATCTTCGCAAATTGTATAATTGTCAAATAAATGTGTTTGCTTGCAGCAAACACATTTATCAGAACAATTTTCAAAGATTGCTCTTTTAACTATGGTCTTTAAAGCTTCCTAGTTATCAATCAACTATTGACAATTACCAATATACCTTGTATATACATACAGCTGCCAAAAACAAATTAAAATTCAACCTATTTATTTGTTGAGATGAATTTCATAACCAAAAATCTTCTTTATCAATTTTTCTGAATTTGTAGCTCTATTTATAGTTTGTTGAAATCTTCTTTGGTGGCAAAAATTAATATGTACACTGGCTATTAATAGAAACAAAATGTGTACATTACATGTGTGTACTTTGTATAATAATTGTATTACTCCTCTTTACCATAAAGGAGGAGAATGATCTGAGTTTATTAATTGCAGGGTTGAAAAGGGAATTAATTAATTAATGTCAATGCTCTTTTGTTGTTGCCATAGTAATTGACCGCCCTTCAAAATTTTTACAATTTGTCATCAATAAAATATGAGAGAGGTTGAACTAAATATGAATGAATCACCCTCATTTTGCCAGTACTTTTAAACCAAGAGTTGAAGTGTGAATGTTGTGAAAAATATAAACAAGTAATTGTATTCCATTATAAAGGAACAGAATATAAATAACTGGACCAAATCTGTTCTTTTAAGAATAACTTAATAACTTCATCAACTTTCAAAATTCAGGGAGTTGGAGGGTGGGAAGGGGGAATATTTCATTGTCTATGCAAGATTGAAGGGGTTTACAAGGTTTTGGTTTAAACATATATTGCACACATAGCGTATAATTTACCAAATAATATTGATTTTTCACGAGGTGGAACAATATAAGAAATGGGTAATTTAATATTTGTGTGTCTGACTCACAAATTGAACTTCAAGACTCGACTCCATTAACTACTCGACTGGATATATAAACTCCCCTCTGGTGAATAACTTTCTTGTGAATATGGGATCTTTGTATACCGAAAAGTAAATACAGGATATGAGTCTGAATTGATTAAGACAGTTGTGGTCGTGTGACTATCTGTCCCTGATTGTCGAACATTATGTTAAGCAGCTTATGAATTTTATTAGTTTTCTAACGAATAGTTTAAAATGTTTGTTTTGGCATTCTGGAATACAAATAAAAAGAGTAAATTTAGGTTCTTGGAGAATTTGTTGAGTCTTATTTCATTTTATTTTTAAGATTTTGCAGCAATTCAAAAACTTACTTTTTTTCTTCTGTTGTTGTCTGAAAATTTTTTGCAACAAATTGAGAGAAAAAAAAATCATTTGTATTTGGATCCTCATACTTATTTCTAATAGGTTATTAACCTTTGATAAAGAAATTATGAAAGTACTTATTAACGTAATTAAGGATATAGAGAGTAATTAAAACGATAATTTATAATATTCTACATATTCCCAAGTCTATAGTTTATGCAGAACAATTAATAAGGATTGGCAATAAAATTAAAAAATTGCATTCACAAATCAGTTGTCTTAATTTTACAATAGAAAGAAATCCGAGTTGAAGAAAATTAATCAGATTATAATTAAACTCAATAATTTACACTAAACTCAAACAATAATCGCAAGACAGTTAAGTCTTTTTTGCTTGGGCAAGAAGCTGATAAACAAAGAAGTCAAATCTTAAGTTAAGAAAAACAGATTAAAAAATAATGGTGAAGTCATCATCATTTAACACACAAAACCGCCTTTCTTATACCTCTCATCTCATCTCTCAGATATAAACAAAGTTAAACGGACAAAAACACGAAAAAGTGAAGTTGGCAAAGAGACACACAATAAGCATTAATCAACTAGGTACCAACATCCGGTCAATGCAAAGGGCATGAGATGGAAGTTAGAAAGAAAAGAGTTGCAAGATAAAGAGGTGAGTTTGTTAAATTTATGTAGAGTGTCGTAAATTTACAAAATCGAGGGTGTTGTGTAGTTACGAGGGTGAAACCGGAAATTTTTGAAATTTTTCTCTATGGTGAGTCACTAAGCGAAATATATGTATTTGTATGTGTTTATGCAACAGAAGTGACGTGTGTGGGAAATTTTTAAAAAATAAAAAAATTTCACCCTCGGAATTGACAATACTCATCTCAACTCTTATATACTGTACTTCTATTTTGAAGTTTGTAAAAAAACAATTTAGAACACAAAGAAAAAATTTTCAATTATTTCATAAAAGTTAAATGGTTTGTATAAATAGATTTGAAAAGTACTTACAATTTTCAATTACCATTTTATAATATTCATTATTTTATTTTTATTTTATTTTCCTTTCTTTCTCTTTCTTCTCTTTCTCTTTCTCTTCTCCTTCTTCTCTTCTTCTTCTCCTTCTCTTCTTCTTCTTCTTCTCTTTCTCAACAATTATCAATTCCCCCAAAGGTATAATTGCATCAAATTTAGCATATTAAGTTGAACATCTTATAGAATAAAGTATGTAAGAAACCTACCCTCTTCCAAGTAATCATTCTTGGAATTGCTAATTGTTGAGAAAGAATAGAAATACACTAGAAGAACAAGACTATCTTCATACCATCATCTCGATCAAAGTCAAAGTCATCGATTCTATGTATCTCCATATTCCCCCCTTCTTTCCCCCCATTGATGAGATGAGTTTAAAAAAACTGAAAAATTTTTGTATGGAAAATTAACCGCGATGAGAGCCAACAAAAAAAAAATGAATCACAAAATTTACAACCATCATCTCATACCATCATCATCTTTATCAATCAACTAACCTAACCAACCATTAAACCCACTTTGCTATTCTTTCTTGGCTACGTATCAATACTGAACCAATCATACTAACTTATTACCAGCTTAATTTTTTAAAGTACTTTTTCACCCATTTATTTTCCCCCAATTTATAAAAGAAAAGTACAACTACTTCATTTACTTTTACAACCAAGTTTGAATTACTTAATATTGTTATCCATTTTTGCATTATCCTATTTTAGAAACTATCTGCAATGCCAAGTCAAATCTCAGTTCCAATCTCCCCACCAATGGAATCCACTGGTGATCGTTTAATGACATTAGAAACTCATGATGGTGTTGCACTTCAAGGTTATTCCTTTGGTGCTGAAGTTCCAACTGCCGGTGAAGTTGTTTTCCAAACTGGTATGGTTGGTTATCCAGAATCAATCACTGATCCATCTTATGAAGGTCAAATTTTAGTTATTACTTATCCTTTAATTGGTAATTATGGTGTTCCAGATCGTGAATTATTAGATGATGATTATTTCCCAGCTTTACCTAAATATTTTGAATCAAATAGAATTCATATTGCTGGTTTAGTCGTTGCTCATTATACTGAAGAATATTCTCATTATTTGGCTAAATCTTCTTTAGGTCAATGGTTGAAAAAAGAAGGTATTCCAGCTATTTATGGTGTTGATACTAGAGCTATTACTAAAAGATTAAGAGAAAAGGGTTCAACTTTAGGTAGATTAGCATTACAAAAGACTCAATTCAAATCTCAAGAAATCTTAAATGAAACTTTAAAAGGTAATGATTGGAAACAATATTTTGAAATCCCTGAATATGATGATCCAAATGTTAAGAATTTAGTTGCTAAAGTTTCAACTTCAAAACCAATCTTGTATACTCCAAAGGATAATATCAAATTAGGTAAAGATGGAAAACCAATTAGAATCGTTGCCATTGATGTTGGTATGAAATACAATCAAATTAGATGTTTTGTTAGACGTGGTGTTGAATTATTAGTCGTTCCTTGGGATTATGATTTCACTACTGAAAAATACGATGGGTTATTCATTTCTAACGGTCCTGGTGATCCAGCTGTTATGGAATCTACTGTTGAACGTTTATCCAAAATCTTATCTGAAGCTAAAACTCCAGTTTTCGGTATTTGTTTAGGTCATCAATTATTAGCTCGTGCAAGTGGTGCATCTACTTTGAAATTGAAATTCGGTAATCGTGGTCATAATATCCCATGTACTTCTACCATTTCTGGTCGTTGTTATATCACTTCTCAAAATCATGGTTATGCTGTTGATACCACTACTTTGACTTCTGGTTGGAAAGAATTATTCGTTAATGCCAATGATGGATCCAATGAAGGTGTTTATCATGAATCAAAACCATTTTTCTCCGTTCAATTCCATCCTGAATCTACTCCTGGCCCAAGAGATACTGAATTCTTATTTGATGTTTTTATTAATTCCGTTATTGATTTCAATGCTACTGGTATCTACAAGCAAGTTTCATTCCCAGGTGGGTTATTAGCTGAAAACAGAGCTGCTCATCCAAAGGTTGAAGTCAAGAAAGTTTTAGTTTTAGGTTCTGGTGGTTTATCTATTGGTCAAGCTGGTGAATTTGATTATTCTGGTTCTCAAGCCATTAAAGCATTGAAAGAAGAAGGTATTTATACTGTTTTAATCAATCCAAATATTGCCACTATTCAAACTTCCAAGGGGTTAGCTGATAAGGTTTACTTTTTACCAGTTAATCCAGAATTCGTGAGAAAAGTTATTCAACATGAACGTCCAGATGGTATTTATTGTACTTTTGGTGGTCAAACTGCTTTATCTGTTGGTATTGCCTTGAAAGATGAATTTGAATCATTAGGTGTTAAAGTCTTGGGTACTCAAATTGAAACTGTTATCACTACTGAAGATCGTGAATTATTTGCAAATGCCATGGCTGAAATTGGTGAAAAGTGTGCTAGATCAGAAGCAGTTAATAATGTTAAGGAAGCTATTGATGCTGCTAATGCAATTGGATATCCATTGATTGTTAGAGCTGCTTATGCTTTAGGTGGTTTAGGTTCTGGTTTTGCTGATAATGAAGAAGAATTGGTTGAATTATGTAATAAAGCATTTGCTACTTCTCCACAAGTTTTAGTTGAAAGATCCATGAAGGGTTGGAAAGAAGTTGAATATGAAGTAGTCAGAGATGCTTTTGATAATTGTATTACTGTTTGTAATATGGAAAACTTTGATCCATTGGGTATTCATACTGGTGATTCTATTGTGGTTGCTCCATCTCAAACTTTATCTGATGAAGATTATAACATGTTAAGAACTACTGCTGTTAATGTTATTAGACATTTAGGTGTTGTTGGTGAATGTAATATCCAATATGCTTTAAATCCTTTTTCAAAAGAATATTGTATCATTGAAGTCAATGCCAGATTATCTCGTTCTTCAGCTTTAGCTTCCAAAGCCACTGGTTATCCATTAGCTTATACTGCTGCCAAATTAGGTCTTAATATCCCATTGAATGAAATCAAGAATTCAGTTACTAAATCAACTTGTGCCTGTTTTGAACCATCATTAGATTATGTTGTTGTTAAGATTCCAAGATGGGATTTAAAGAAATTCACCAGAGTTTCATCATTATTATCATCATCCATGAAATCAGTTGGTGAAGTCATGGCTATTGGTCGTACTTTTGAAGAAGCTATTCAAAAAGCAATTAGATCAGTTGATTATCAAAACTTGGGTTTTAATAAGACTGCTGCATTAATGTCAATTGATATTGATCAAGAATTACAAACTCCTTCAGATCAACGTTTGTTTGCAATTGCTAATGCTTTAAGTGATGGTTATTCAGTTGAAAAAGTTTGGAAATTGACTAATATTGATAAATGGTTCTTGAATAAATTAGATGGATTAATTAAATTTGGAAATCAAATTGCTTCATTTGTTGATTTAGAAAAATTACCAGTTGAAATCTTAAGACAAGCTAAACAATTAGGTTTTGAAGATAGACAAATTGCTAAATTCTTGGATTCAAATGAAATGAATGTTAGAAGATTTAGAAAAGAATATGGTATTATTCCATTTGTTAAACAAATTGATACTGTTGCTGCTGAATTCCCAGCTTTTACCAATTATTTATATGTGACTTATAATGCTGATTCTTCTGATGTTAAATTTGATGAACATGGTGTTATTGTTTTAGGTTCTGGTGTTTATAGAATTGGTTCTTCAGTTGAATTCGATTGGTGTGCAGTTAGAGCTATTAGAACTTTACGTGAAAATGGTACCAAGACAATTATGATCAATTATAATCCAGAAACTGTTTCTACTGATTATGATGAAGCTGATAGATTATATTTCGAAACTATTAATTTGGAAAGAGTATTGGATATTTATGATTTAGAACAATCTGCCGGGGTTATTATTTCAATGGGTGGTCAAACTTCAAATAATATTGCATTACCATTACATAGACAAAGTGTTAAGATCTTGGGTACTTCTCCAGAAATGATTGATTCTGCTGAAAATAGATATAAATTCTCCAGAATGTTAGATAGAATTGGTGTTGATCAACCTGCTTGGAAAGAATTAACTTCTGTTGAAGAAGCTGAAGAATTTGCCGAAAAAGTTGGTTATCCAGTCTTGGTTCGTCCTTCTTATGTCTTATCTGGTGCTGCTATGAATACTGTTTATTCCATAGATGATTTAGCTTCTTATTTAGGTCAAGCTGTTGATGTTTCTCCAGATTATCCAGTTGTTATCACCAAATATATCGAAAATGCCAAAGAAATTGAAATGGATGCTGTTGCCAAGGATGGTAAGATGATCATGCACGTTGTTTCTGAACATGTTGAAAATGCTGGTGTTCATTCTGGTGATGCTACTTTGATTGTTCCTCCTCAAGATTTAGATCCTGAAACTGTTAGAAGAATTGTCGAAGCTACTGCTAAGATTGGTAAAGCTTTAGATATCACTGGTCCATATAATATTCAATTCATTGCTAAAGATAATGATATCAAGGTTATTGAATGTAATGTTAGAGCATCAAGATCTTTCCCATTTATTTCCAAGGTTGTTGGTACTGATTTAATTGAAATGGCAACCAAGGCAATTATGGATATGCCAGTTGTTCCTTATCCAGGTGAAAAATTACCAGAAGATTATTGTGCAGTTAAGGTTCCTCAATTCTCATTCTCAAGATTGGCTGGTGCTGATCCTGTTTTAGGTGTTGAAATGGCAAGTACTGGTGAAGTTGCAACTTTTGGTAGAAACAAATATGAAGCTTATTTGAAATCATTAATTTCCACTGGATTCAAATTACCAAAGAAGAATATCTTATTTTCAATTGGTTCATATAAGGAAAAACAAGAATTATTACCATCAATTGCTAAATTACATGAATTGGGTTATAAAATCTTTGCTACTGCTGGTACTGCTGATTTCTTGAAAGAACATGGTCTTCCAGTTCATTATTTGGAAGTTTTAAGTAAAGGAGAAGATCAAAAATCAGAATATTCATTGACTCAACATTTAGCCAACAATTTAATTGATCTTTATGTTAATTTACCATCTGCTAATAGATTTAGACGTCCAGCTTCTTATATGTCCAAGGGTTATGAATCTCGTCGTATGGCTGTTGATTATGCTGTTCCATTAGTTACCAATGTCAAATGTGCTAAATTATTAGTTGAAGCTATTGCCAGAAAGATTCCATTGGAAGTTTCAAACCGTGATGCTCAAACTTCTCATGGTACTGCTGTTTTACCAGGTTTAATCAACATTGCTGCTTTTACTACTTCATTTGATGATATTGAACAAGTTTCCAAAAAGGCTCTTGCTGCTGGTTTTACTTTCAATTCTTATTTACCAACTGTCAAGGATAAACATGTTGCTGTTTCAGATTTCTCATCATTAGTTAAAGCCATTGATGCTGCTGGTTCTAGTGCATACACTGATTTCTCAGTTTCTATTGCTGGTTTACAATCAAATGTTACTGCTGCTGCTGATGCTGCTGAAAATGCCGGTGCTTTAGTTTTATCATCTTCCAATTTTGTTGTTGAAAAAGTTGCATCAATTGCTAATCATTTTGCTAATTGGCCTGAATCTAAACCAATTGTTACTGATGCTAATGCTACCGATTTGGCTTCTGTTTTGTTGTTGGCTTCATTACATGATAGATCTATTCATGTTACTGGTGTTTCATCTCAAGAAGATTTAGAATTGATTAAGATGGCTCAAGCTAAAGGATTGAAGGTTACTTGTGATGTTGCTGTTGTTTCATTATTTGTTTCTCAAGACGAATTAGATATTGATGTTTTACCATCTAAAGAAGATCAAGATTACTTGTGGGAAAACTTAGATTTCATTGATTGTTTCACTATTGGTAATTTACCTTATTTGATTGCTAAAGCTGCTGGTGAAGATATTGTTCCAGGTGTTGGTATTAATGAAACTCTTCCATTATTATTATCTGCTGTTGAAGAAAAGAAATTAACCATCCAAGATATCATTGCTAAATTCCATGATAATCCAGCTAGAATCTTCAATATTCCAAAACAAGATGCCCAAGTTGAAATTGATTTAGATAGATTTGCAGCTGATATTAAACCTTCATTTGCTGGTTTTGAATCATTGAAATTAAGAGGTGCTATTGAAAGAGTCTCCTTCCATGGTGAAACTGTTGTTTTAGATGGTAAAGTCTTAGCTCAAGATGCTTTAGGTCAAAATGAAATCACTCCAAGAAATAGATTTGCATCAGTCTCAATTCCACAATCTCCATTATTAAGTGGTCAAAGAAGTAGAGTTTCATTTACTACTGCTGATATGCGTCGTCCATCATTGAAAGAAGCTACTCCACAACCTGCTCCACTTGAATTTGAAAGATTAGGTTCTGAATTGGTATCTCAACCAATTGCTGGTATGGGTGAAATTACTGCTTTACGTGATTATATTAGAAAGCACAACACTTTCTTAAGAACCTCCATTTTATCAGTTAAGGATATCACTAGATCTGATTTACATGCATTATTCACTGTTGCTCAAGAAATGAGATTGGCTGTTGAAAGACGTGGTGGGTTAGATATTTTACAAGGAAGAATCTTGGCTACTATGTTTTATGAACCATCTACTAGAACTTCAACTTCATTTGATGCTGCTATGCAAAGATTAGGTGGTAGAGTTGTTTCTGTTGATTCTGATTCTTCTTCAGTTAAGAAAGGTGAAACATTACAAGATACTATTAGAACTTTGGCTTGTTATGCTGATGCTATTGTTTTAAGACATCCATCTGGTGAATCTGCTGATATTGCTTCCAAATATTCCCCAGTTCCAATTATTAATGCAGGTAATGGTTCAAAAGAACATCCAACTCAAGCTTTATTAGATTTATTCACTATTAGAGAAGAATTAGGTACTGTTAATGGTATTACTGTTACATTCATGGGTGATTTGAAATATGGTAGACCAGTTCATTCATTATGTCAATTATTACGTCATTATCATGTTAAGGTTCAATTAGTTGCTCCAAAGGAATTAGCTATCCCATCTGAAATTAGAAAATTCTTAATCAAGAACAATATGTTGGTTGCTGAATCTGAAGAATTAACTAAGGAAATTTTGGCTAAATCTGATGTTTTATATTGTACCAGAGTTCAAGAAGAAAGATTTGAAGATAGAGAACAATACTTGAGATTGAAGGATACTTATATCGTTGACAATAAGATTTTGAATGATGCTAAACAACACATGTGTGTTATGCATCCATTACCAAGAACTAATGAAATTAGAGAAGAAGTTGATTTTGATCAAAGAGCTGCTTATTTCAGACAAATGAGACATGGATTATTTGTTAGAATGGCATTATTGGCTATGGTTATTGGTGTTGATTATTAGACTGACAATTGGGGAATTGTTTCATTATTTACATTTTGTTTTTTATAGATTGGTTTTTTTAAAAAAAAGAAAAAGATGGTTGTTGTGATATTTATTTGGTGGTTTAATCTTCATGTTGGTGTCATTTGTTATATATTTCGGGGGAAATTACATTCTGGAATCATATTGGTTATTATTACTGCTGATTTATATTATTACGATTATTATTAATTATATATTATATTTAAAAATTAAAAACAGACACTTGTATATTCTTTATAGTTATAATCATTAAAGTTAATTATTTATATTAAAAAGTATACACACAGTAGAGTTATTAACTATCATTCTCTTGGTGAAGGAATAAATTGGCAGCATCATCAGCAGGTTGGCCCTGTCTACCAGTTTCTGGTTTCATTTTCCCACCATTATCATCATTTTCTCCATTCTCAGTCTGAATCAAAGCTCTAGCAATCTCAATGGCATCACCAGACTCATGTTGGTGATTATAAGACTCAACTCTTGGATCAACCGGTATATCATCATGATCACCTCGTTTATTTCCATTCTCCCCCTCATTATTCCCCGAACTATAATGATGATGATGATAGCCATATTCTTCAAAATGTCCAGTATCATTCGCAACAGCTTGTGCCGCAACTTCAGCATACGTCTGCGGTTGATGATGTTGTTGTCTTTCACGTTCCTTCTGTAGCCGTTGTTGTTGTTGTTGATTCCGTTGTGCTTCCTCTACAACTGCAATAAGATTGTCATCCAATCCTGCCAATTCATGACTTAACAAATCGGAAGCAGCAACATGGTGATGTCGATTGTTGTGGAGTTGGGTGGCTGCTGCTACAACCATGGCTTCTACTTCATCTGATTTTATAACATTACGAGGTGATTGGGTTTGATATTGTGGTTTGGTGATACGGTGTCTATTGGTGTTTAATCGGTTGATCATCTTCTTTGGATTTGATGTGGCGGTGGTGGAAGAACCTTGTGATGATGATGACGCAAATGCTGTTGCTGATGCTGCTGCTGAGGATGATAACGCAGCAGCTGCTAGAACTGCAGATGCACGTTTATGAGCATTGGTATATTCTCGACTTGGATCTCTACATTCAGGACAATTCTTAACTGCAGTAGCAACAGTATCTTTAATTCTTATCCAATGATATTTTTCTGCCACTATTGCAGTAGTTTTATTTATTCCACCATGATTTTGTAAATGTACTTCAGTACATATTTGTAATTGTCTAACTGGATCTCCAACAACTTCTCTACCTTTAAGCATCAATTTACCATTTTCTAAATTATAATGTGATGCAGAAGATCTTAATCTTGATTTCTCTTGTCTATCAGCCATGGCAGGATATCTTCCAGTTTCTAAATAAAATTTAATCTTATCAAACCTATAAGCCCCAACTTCAGGATCGGCAGTATTTACCAAATCACGTCCATAAATCACGGCATCAACAGGTTGTTCATGACCTTTTAAAACCCCAGCTGCTTTAATTCTTCCAATTCGTTTAAAATTCAAGGATTCCCATAATTTCCTAGCGGCTACATTGGTTTCAAAGACTAAATTAAACATAGTATAACTATATCCTAATCTTGGAGCCCATTGTAAGAAACAATCAGTTAAAGTCCTACCAATTCCCTTTCCTCTAATCCCGGCATTAACTAAAAACTGAGCAGTACAGATATGTGAACATCTACCTGGGTAATTTGGTTTGATGAAGAAAGTCCCTAAACATTCTTTTTCCCATTGTCTTGCCCCTTCTAAAGTTGGTGAATCTCCTAATACCATCACAGCAGCAAAAGAGCCAAACCAATAATTTTGGAAATGTTCAATATCTAACGTATCAAAGAATGTTAGAGTATCACCTCTTTCTATTTCCATATTGAATTCATCACATAAGAATGCTAATAATCCGGGTGGAAGATCCTGGGGGGAATGAATTGGATAGATGGTTGCGGTGGTTTCACCATCTTTTAATAAGACAGTATATCTGTCGAGGACTGAAACTGGATTATAATCTATTGATGATCGATAGATGGGCGGTTGTTGTACAACTCCTTCAAACTCGGGTATTTTCATTTAGATAGTAATAAGTGTAGATATATGGTTGATATTGATAAGTGTATACTCTATACTGTCTAAGTATTTCTTAGAATGAAATGTTTACAGTTTTTATAAAAAAGACGTGAATTTGTTTTTTTTTTGAAAAGTGCAAAAAATTTTTACTTGTTGGCATCGAAACTCACATGATCAAATAATGTCGTATATTTATCTACAAATCTACAACGCGACATCTAATGTCGCATTACTCTAGTTCTTTTTAATTACTGCAAATCTTTACCAAACATATATGCCCCAATTAATCTATCATACCCCTTCAAAACAGCAACATTCTTCACATATCCAATTCTTTCAAACCCTAAGGAATCCCATATCTTCAAACTAGCAACATTAGTCTCAAACACAAGATTAAACACGGAATAAACATATCCCAACTTAGGTGCAATTATTAAATATTTCTTCCCCATTTCTTTACCCAACCCCAAACCTCTCTTCCTGTGATTGACTATAAACCCAGCATTACAGGCATGGGAACACCTTCCTATATAGTTTGGTTTAATGTAGAAATTCCCCAAGAATATTTCATACCATTCTGCAACTGATAATTCACCAAGGTCAGATAGGCAGGTATAGTTCCCTTCGATAAGGATTCCTACGAAATGAGTGAACCAATACTTGACAAACACCTCTCCATGTAGTGGTTTGTGATGGGGATAGGTTAATCCTTCTTCCACCACATGATTGAATTCATCTTGTAGGACTTGGATTAAGTTGGAAGGAACATCTTTTGGATCATAGATGGTGAATAAGGTGACTTGACGACTTGGGTCTTTTTCAAGAGTGAAGTTTATTGGTCCATTGAATTTTGGGGTGGTTTTGAAGTGGTGGTCGGCAAATGGAAGATCCTTGACTGAGTTGTATACTTCCTCTGCTGTCATGTTTTGAATCTTTATAAATGAGATGTGTAGTGAGTTATAATTTGGTAGTTCAACTTCTCAACCGATCAGACTAGAAGGGATCCAAATGTGTATTTATACTTGATCTTCTATTAGATAAACATGTCATTTAGTGTTTCGAAAGTTTTCCAAATTGTACTATCGGGTACAAGATCCCGTCGAGCCCCAATTTTCAAAATTATTTTTTTGTTGATCATCATTTCCGGCGTATAAATCGTTCCTGTATATAACTGGAAATACTGGTTACCCGGATTTCCACTGTGGTTTTCTGACTTTGAGAAATGAAATGAAGATTTCCCCCATTGGAAACCGAATTCATCAAATGAATCATCATCTACCACCACTACCATAACACTACTACATATATTCATATAGGCTCATATACACAAGGACACACGATGGAAGATCCCAAGAGGAATGGAATGATATCAGAATGTATGTATCTCTTTAATACCTTAACTTGATTGATCTTTTTAAATGATCAAACTGTTGAAATCAAAATACTAACTTTAAACCAACCATCTAGCATTAACCAAAAGAGACAAGAAACGACAACAAATAGCGACACGATTAAATAAACTTGAATTAACTTTTCGAAATGATCGAGATATCTTTTATAGAAATCTGTTACATGAATTACAAACAAAATTAGCTACATTACAACAAGGTACCAATGAAGAATATGTAAGTAAAAAGATTCAAATGGAAGAAGTTCGAGATTATGAATTAACTAAATTAAGATTATGGGAAGAATATCAAGTAAAACGAATAGAAACTGAATATAATGAAGATATTGCTAAAGCAAAAGAAAATCATGATAAAATGATTAAATTAATTAAAGAAAAATTATATGATAAATTAGAAAAACAAATTAAACAATTAAAAGAAGATAAAATATTATTAAATCTAGTGAATGGGAATTCTTGGAATAATTCAGATGAATCTTCAGCACAAACACTGGCTTATGATGTAGCTGCCGCCGCGGCTGGATTCACTACTGTCAGTGATCGTAGATCACTTCGGAAACGAGAAATTACCAGTCGATTCACCACGGGAGAAGCAGATGATTTATCTGATGGAGGTGGTGCATCATCAGCCACTGGTGCAAATACGAATGGAGGATATACATCTTCAGGAAAACGAAGGAGATTATATGCAACTCGATATTCTTCAAATGATGAGATGTCATCAAGTATAGCAAGTGCATCCACTGCAATTCCATTCAAATCATCAAATGCCAATAATAATGGAGGTGTGAGTAGTGGATATGAATCTAATTTGAGTGATAAAGATTATGACGCGTTGAATTCATTGATTATGGAGAATGAAGATGGTGGAGTATCATTGATATTGTTGGATAAGACGGGTCCAGGAGGTGGTACATCTAATAAACCACAGACTAGAGGAAGTAATAAACAGTTTATAGGTCCTCAAGGGTTAAAACCAGAAGAATTGAATGAAGATTTGACATTGTTAAGGAATGCAATTGTTAAGAAGGAGAAGTAGCCTGAAGTTTAGTAAGTTGTGTATAATTAGTTGTTTTTCTGTTTTAGTTCATTAATTTTGTATTATAAATTTACCAAGTCATTCAAGATACTTCTTGTAGTAATAGTTGTACTAATAGTTGTAGTAATGTGCCATATCATAATCTCTCTATCATATCAATTGTAGTGGCTATGTGTTTAATGATGTACGCAGTACGCACGGCAAGTGAAAAAAGGTTACACAAAATAAGCCGAGAAAATATTGATAAATAGAACCCACCATGTGTTGCTCCCTTTTACTATAGCCCCCATTTATGAGAAGCCTTGTTAATAGAGAAAACTGGGAATTTATTGTTGGACGTATTTATATATATATATATAACCAAAAAAATATAAATCGAGATTTTCTATATATCTTCTTAACCTAGTATCATTTTACAGGCATAAATTCACTATGGACAATGAAGATGAAGAAAAATACATACCAAAAAACACAACCTCCATCACAATAGACTCAGTAGATTCTACCATAGATGACTACGACACCACTGCTACCAATCCATATCTCCTCCAATCACCCCCACCACGCCCATCACCACTAATCTCACGCGGTAGTTCCCATTCCCATCGTCATCCCCTCCATCCCCGTCCATCGCTCATCAGAAGACTCTATCGCCTTATCAAACGCAAGAAACTATTACAAATATGCGCCTTCGTTCTCGCACTCACAACCATCATCATAACCCTCCGATCAACATCCATCTTCACCACCACCAATCCGGACCCATTCTGGACAAATTTCTCCGTCGATGATCTCAAACCTGAGAAATCCAGCAATAATATCAAGCTATCACATCAAGATATAGCCAGTTCTAAAGATGCTCCATTCCAATATGGATGTCAGGTCCCTCAGACCGACAAGCCGAGGGCGAATGCCACCTTGGTCGTACTTGCAAGAAATTCCGAGCTCGCTGGGGTAGTGAAATCGATGCAGAGCCTCGAGAGGCATTTTAATCAATGGTTCGGATATCCATGGGTATTTTTGAATGATGAGGAGTTTGATGAAGAGTTCAAGGAGACGGTGAAGGAATATACATCTGCCCTGGTTGAATTTGGACGGATTGGGCCGAAGGAGTGGGATTTGGTGGGGGATCATGCTGAGATTGATGAATATATCAATAATCAGGGTGATAGACGAGTGTTATATGGGAATAGTATTTCATATCATAAGATGTGTAGATTTTATTCCGGGTTTTTTTATAGACATGAATTGGTTACCAAAAGAGATTGGTATTGGAGGGTAGAGCCTGATGTTGAGTTTTATTGTGATATTACCTATGATCCATTTATAGAAATGGAAAAACGGGGCAAGAAGTATGGATTTGCGGTTTTGATTAAGGAATTATATTATACCGTGCCAGGATTATTTGGAGAAACAAAAGCTCATATCAAAAAGAATAACATTAAACTAAAATCAGCATGGGATTTATTCATCATAAATTCAAAATACACCACGGGGACCCAATCCCAATACAAATATGACAATCTAAAAACCCGCTCGGAAATCCTCGAAACCATCGAAGACAACATCGTACTCCAGAAATGGCTAGATACCCCCGATAAGACCGACGCGGACTTCTCTTCATTCAACAACGATCTAATCTCCAAACTCATCGCCGAATCCACTCAACTCCCTCAACTCCATGAAGACCGAATCGATCAAGAAGAATACAACCTATGTCATTTCTGGTCAAATTTCGAAATCGCCAGAACCGATCTCTTCACTTCCACAGAATATCAACAATATTTCGAATATTTAGATTCAACCGGTGGATTCTATAAGGAACGTTGGGGAGATGCACCCATACATTCCCTAGCAGTGGGGATGATGTTGGATGTGTCCGAGATTCATTATTTTCGGGATATGGGATACCGACACTCAGTCCTCGCTCATTGTCCTCGCAACTCTCCGGCGAATCAATTAGAATATGTCCAAAGCGAGAAATATAAAGGAGGTGATCCGGAGGCGGATAAGTATTGGTTAAGACCAGATAGACCCGGTGCGAATGGGGTGGGGTGTAGGTGTAGATGTCCGAAACGGATTCCTGATTTGGAGGATAATCCGGATGCTTGTATAAAGAAGTGGAAACGGGTTAGTGAGGATAATTATCGGGCATTCAAGACGGTGGATGTGGATGAATATGAGAAGAAGATTAGGAAGAGGGTGGATACGTACCTTGCGAAAGGTGGAGTATTGGGGAAGAAGAGGGTGACCACTCATATGTTTTGGGGTAAGGAGTTATCTATATTGTAATAATCATGTAGAAATAGACACTTTATTTGTGTGACGTAGCTGATACTGTAGATTTGAGTCTCTTTCCAGAAACAATTGGTAGTTCCTTGAAGTTCTTCTCATCTTGAGAGGTATAGTCTCGACCAATGAGCCAAAGCTGAAGTTATTCTACATGTTATTATCATTTATAACTCAAAATTGTAAGTTTTATTTTTCTAATATACACATTTAAAAATACAAAATATAGAAACAAATAGGAAGTGGATAGGACTCTTGAAATCAACAAGAATTGGTTGTTTAACCACCGAAACCATATAAGGTTCTACCTTGTCTCTTTAAGGCATAGACGACATCCAAAGAAGTAACAGTCTTTCTCTTAGCATGTTCAGTATAAGTAACAGCATCTCTAATAACATTTTCTAAGAATTGTTTTAAGACAACTCTAACTTCTTCATAAATTAAAGCAGAAATACGTTTAACACCACCTCTTCTGGCTAATCTTCTAATAGCTGGTTTGGTAATACCTTGAATGTTATCTCTCAAGATCTTTCTGTGTCTCTTGGCACCACCCTTTCCTAAACCTTTTCCTCCTTTTCCTCTACCGGACATTGTTGATTATAATTATTTATTTGATTAAGTAAGTTAAGAAAGTTAATAAAAAACTAATCTATTGATTTAAAAAAGAAGAAGAATGATATTGAAATATTTGAAGGGAAATTGATTTATATTTATAAAGAAAGAATTCCTTGAATTGTTGATTATTTAATTTCGTGTTACACTGTTTCCCGTATTGAGTAAGAAACGTATCGCGGTTTTCAATGTTTTGATTTAGATGGTTTTGTGATTCAATTGGTACGAAGAGATCAAATTGGTTTGACTGCGCGCGACTAGAAAAGATTCAGGAACAAAGAAGCCGTAAAGAACAATTTAACTTTAGCGAGAAGAAGAACAGAAAAAGTTAACTATTTAGAATGCTATAAATTACACATTTAAGTGCGTAAATTATAGCACTGTAAATATGCGACTTTTTATGTTCCACGAGATCAGAAAAAATAAATCGGAATTTTTGATTCTTTTTCCATCGTTGAGGATAATACAGACGTAAATTTCATACTGACAATTAATATAGGAATTGTATGAGACACGTACTGAGATTTACTACACTCATTCTTTCATCTCACATAAAAGATTTTGTTTCACGGAGATTTCCAATCTTTCGTGATTTTGTGGAGAGTATTCCTTTTGATCCACGCGATTTGTTTATGTTTTGAATTTTTGCATCCACTTTACACTCAATACGCCAAACCTTTTACCAGTCACCCCAAAATTATTTCTCTATTTATATCATTCAGATTCCTCTTCAATTTTAACAAATTATTCTTTCTCTTTTTCCTTTTTTATTATCTATCAATTCACATTCATTAACAATGGCTAGAACTAAACAAACTGCTAGAAAGTCTACCGGTGGTAAGGCTCCAAGAAAACAATTAGCTTCCAAAGCTGCCAGAAAATCCGCTCCATCTACCGGTGGTGTCAAGAAACCTCACAGATATAAGCCAGGTACCGTTGCCTTAAGAGAAATTAGAAGATTTCAAAAATCTACCGAATTATTAATTAGAAAATTACCATTCCAAAGATTAGTTAGAGAAATTGCTCAAGATTTTAAAACTGATTTAAGATTCCAATCTTCTGCTATTGGTGCTTTACAAGAATCAGTTGAAGCTTATTTAGTTTCTTTGTTTGAAGATACTAACTTATGTGCTATTCATGCTAAGAGAGTTACTATCCAAAAGAAGGATATTCAATTAGCTAGAAGATTAAGAGGTGAAAGATCTTAAATGTGATTAACCCTCTAGGCTTTGCTTTTTATTTTACTTCTTCGTATTGTATATTAGTTTAAAAGAATAATAATAAACGTGTATTTTTATATATTAACTACCCATGTCATTGTAATTATTTCTCAAGTATGCATGCCCCAGGCTTGGTTTTCAGCTTTTCAGCGACGGTACACTACTCAATTCATTATTATACTGTTACACAGTTCTAACTTTGGTGATAGGCTCGTCAAGGCTTGCCCTGGGCTCTGCCATATTCCATTTCATACAACCCACTCTTCATTACACCGTTAATTAAAGGCTCTACACACATCTAGCTAAGACAACAACCAATTCCACCTATCTATCCCTTTAAGCCCCGCCTCCTCCCCATCCCCATCCTTTCCATCCCATTCAGCATAACACAAACAATAATGCTCCAACAAAAGTCTAATCTCCTCAATCTCATCCACAAATTCCAACCTATTCACCCTCGCCAACTCCGTCTCCTCTATCCACTCCTTCCCCCCATCACCCTCTTTCATCCTACCAAACCCACCCACCTCACTCATATTAGTCAACCTCACCCTCTGGAAACCACATTCATTCATCAATAACTCCCTTCTGGAAGTAAGGGTGGGATATTTCCCAAACGTCTCCAAATCAATCCCTCTATCCAACAAATTCTGGGCCATTGTAGAACCGAAAGAGTCCAACATCGACATCGGTTCATATATAACCACCCCAAGTACATTTTTCATAACCCGGAGCCAGTATTTCAATGCTGATAAATAGTCCGAGGGGGGAAGATAACAGAGTGCACATTCGCTAATCACGATCGTGGGCACCGTTGGGTCGAATCCGGGGAGGATTGTGTCGGGGGTGAGGGTACGGATGTCAATGGCATGGAGATGATATCTCAGCGTGTCGATCTCCGGATCAAGCTGCTCGAAATCCAGTCGGGATTGAATAGTCGGTGCAGATTGTGGGGGGAGGGATATGATGGATTGTAAGTCCAGATTCGCCAATATCGCCAATTTTTTAATCTTACACGATTCCTCAAAATCAATCTCATGATATCTGACCCCATTCTCCTTTCCCAAAATTGAAAAACATCTCGTATCGGATCCACTACCCAATGAAACTATCTGACATCCAGGGAATTCTTGCATAAATTGATTCAAGATCTTATCAATCACCACTGTTCTAAGATATGTCCCCCGATTAATCAATGGCAATTTCCTCGCCAGGAATGCTTGTCTGAGGGTTCGGGATGATGATAGGTTTGTATATCCCTGACAATATTGGAGGTTTGATTGATAGGAAGTGATGAGTTTTGAGATATGGGGGTCTGGTGGGATGAGGTAGGAGGATTGGTTTATATTGTGACGACAACTGAGGGCGTCTAGGTCGGTGGCGCGGATGAGTTTGTCCTTTTTCTCGCGAGGTGATAGCATTGATAGAGCTTACAGGGACTGGTTTATTGATTGTTGACTAGATTTTCTGAAATTTTCAATTGCGCATTTTTTGGGTGATGATTTTTTTGGTGGAGAGTGAGTTGTAATATAACGGTATATTATTTACATATAAACTAGATCGATAAACTAAAAATATAAAAGAACTGAAAAATAAAGACACAAAGTTATAACACACATATACATCTCTTTCTATATGCTCAGCTTTCGCTGTAGTAGCTGCGTAAGCAGCTACTATTCACCTATCGGTAACCTCACAATTCTCAGCTTCGCTGTAGTAGCTGCGTAAGCAGCTACTAATCGGTAACCTATCGGTTACCGTTACCCCTAGCTAGCTTCACTGTAGCTGCGCAAGCAGCTACTATTCACCTATCGGTAACCTCACAATTCTCAGCTTCGCTGTAGTAGCTGCGTAAGCAGCTACTAATTGGTAACCTATCGGTTACCCCTAGCTAGCTTCGCTGTAGTAGCTGCGCAAGCAGCTACTAATCGGTAACCTATCGGTTACCGTTACCCCTAGCTAGCTTCGCTAGCTTTGCTTCGCTAGCTTTTGCTTCGCTATAGCTGCTTACGCAGCTATGCTCGCTTCGCTACCTCAGGGCAATCCTATTCTGAGCATTCTTTCTCTCCTGCTTCCCCTTCTTCATCACCTGTTTCAACGCCACACTATCCAACGGATCCAACAATT